TCTTACGAATTTGGTGTTACAATGTGATCAATCATGATTATTCATTTTTCCTCCAGTAACAAGATCGACACCCCTAGTGGTCACTCGTCATTCACTTGGCATCATAAAAGACACCCTCCTCCCTCCCCACTTTAACATTGGTGTCCATCGTGGGGGGGGGAGGGGGGAGTTTATCATGTTTCACGGTCACGAAACTGCTTCTGAGATATGATTACATCCAGAGGGTTGCCTCAGTTACTGCAAGTCTACAATTTAGTGAAAACCTGTTACACCACCTCTTCCTGAATTTGTATTGATTACATTGTAAAAACTTTTTAATGTTACTGTACTATGTGTGTGTTGTTGTATGTTACTGTTTAATGTTTTTTTTAATGTTGTTGTGTGTGTGTGTTTTTAATGTCATTAAGTTGTATCTTTTCAGTACTTCTGAGAGGTTTGCAATCAATAGAAACAAATATTAACACTGGGATTTATTTAAGAATTGGGATGGTTCTGTGATTTTTGTTTGGGAAAAGAGAGTTTTATAGGACCTTTTATGTAAACTTCTTCATGTACTGGAGGCATACCCTTTTTACAAATTGCTTTAACTGATACCATCTTTGGTCATAAATAACAAAAACTTTACATTCAATGCTATGCAGGTTTGACAAACGAATGGAAACACTTAGACAAAGAGAAATGAGGATTAGTTACATAGCTAAATTATTTATTTAACATAGACTGGATCTTGTAACAGCACATTTAAATGACGCAGAACTCATACTTTCACATCAGTGCACAATTACTACTATTGTTTTTATTTTCATGATAGCCTTGGAGCTGCTAGATTAACCAACAGTTGAGTTGACAGCGGTTTTGTTTTTCGAAACAGGCACAAACAGATCAATGTCCTTCAGTTGAAATACGATCACCAAATACGAGAAAGTCATCGCTGCAATCTTCGTCAAAAGTTCCATGTTGAACGTAAAGATTCCACCGACTGTGAACTTTACTGGGTTGTCAATCGTCAGACGGGAATAGTTCCCAATCTTTTCCCAGAGAGAATAGGGCGAATCTCTGTGCAAAATGTGATGAGCAATCTCCGCGGTTCTGTTGGCCTCGTTGGCGCACAGATGGCATGTCACAATCTGACAAACAAGATTTACCAACAGGCAAAGAGTAATGTAGATTTTATAATCGATCAATGATTTTTCTTTGATCATCATATCGAATGTGTCGTAACAAAAAAAGACCAAGTTGAAAAACAAAGAAGTGACGTAGAAGAGGTTGAAGACACAAAAGTGGGAGTTGACGTTGGACACGATGACGTGGAGGGTGGAGTGGATGCGGAACACAGAGTCCAGGCGGGTCTCGACAATCTGCAGCAAGGTCTGATCAGCTGATGCTGCTATCCTGATCAGCTGATCGTTCAATGCCGAGAACCTACTGTGAATCAGTTGAACGAACGTCAGGTGTTGATTCCAAGCCGCGTTGAACACCAGGTACAAAGCGATCATATTTGTGTATCCAATCAACATGTAAATCAAGGTAAGACTCTTTAAGAGTGCGCACAACTGCGAGAGAACGATTACAGCCATAGTTTTGGTCAGGTTTGGGGATTGGATCAGAGCCCCCATTTCCCGGAGTTGATCGTCGACAAGATTCAAATCATGCAGGATAGAGCGAAAATCTTCCGGATCGAAAAGAATCATCAGTAGATGTATCATATTTCCCAAAGCCTGTGGAAGAACTCCAATGAAATAATGTATGAGAAGTCTGTAGGGCAGCAGCAATGGAGATGCCATAGCGAAACTTGTGAAAGCCAGTGGGATTACACAGTAGAAACATCCGTAAAAGCCTTCGATTGGAACAATCCCGCAGATACGGAATAAAAGGTGTTCAGGTCCAAAAATCATCATGGGAGTTTTCAATAAACTGTCAAGGAAGGAAATACTACCATAACAACTCTTACAAAGTATCGACACAAAGTATATTAGCAATTATATTATTTTCTTTACTTTTCCATCCGTCTTGTCTTGACACTGTGAAGTGTATGAAGTATCTCAACGCACGTTTTTCAATTTAAGATATTAAACTTAACGAGTCACAAGAAGTTCTAATACAGTATGAAATTGTTGAATATGACAACTGACTCAAATATTGAAGGACGACTACAACGTATTATAAAGCGTGGTATGGCATTGAGAGCTTTTACCAATATTGATAACCATTACCATCTACCATCAAGTTAGAAGTATGCAGCAGTTGAATTAATGGATTATTGCAACCAATTGAACCAAATATTTTATCCTCATTTATGCCAAATTTATTTTATAGGGCAAACTTTTATCGATTACTATTGGTCACTCTAATCACCATCACTCTCAAAAAGAGAATGAAATAAATTATTTTCGTCCCTGTTTGATTCTTCTTGGTTTTAGAGTACCAGAATATAAAAGTGTACCTTGTTCTTACTAAACTATTTCAAACGTATTTAATCACATAAAACACGAAACAGAATAGATATACAGTACTAAATCACACTGGCTATTGGTAGATTACTTTTACACTATACTCGTATATACAAGAGTTTGACTAAATGTATAATTTAATTTTTAGGGTGAATAATTTCATTCCGATGGATACAAAATCCACTCAGACAATACTGGGTTTCACAAAATTTGTAGCCAGGTTGAGTTTCCCCCGGTTGGCTCAAAGTGAGATTGCAGTTCACTCACAGTGTTCCTGTTATATTTGCAGATACCAAAATCGGATGCAATAGAGAGGAGATTTAGCAAATTACAACACTCTCTGGCCACCCGTCACAGACCGTTAAGCCTCTTCTCTATTATTTCCAGACTAGCTTTTTATTAGATAAAATATTATTATGTACTTATATTTTCTCTTATGTATTTTCCTGTTTGTTAGGCCACTTTTACGCGCATACAGAAAGGCAGCACTAAATCTATTTATGATGAACCTAGTTAGTATGATATTTGAGAAATGTTTAAACATCCTTTATTTGGCTAGTTACCTGAGTGGTTAACGTGCTCGCCTGACATTCAAAAGGTCACTCGTTCGACTATGAGAAAATTCAGTAGCTTTTTGTTGGTTTGAGACCGGATCAAGCTGTCCCCTGATCATTGGGCCATTGGACAGATCGTCTCACTCCATTCTACACTCATTCTTCAATCATATTTGGGTTAAAATACCCAACCGAATTTGATTGTATGAATAGGAATACTTGTTTGTCAATTTGGCGTCAACATCCCAATTACTAATGATAATGCTAATTTAAAGAACAAATTGTCAAGTGCTTTTTGGGCCAATTTGAGCACATATAAAATCAAAACATTTAAATTCTACTTTTAAAGTCAAATCTCACTTGGTTCATTAAAGAAAAAAAATTTATTTTAGTTACTGATAATTAAGTATTGACCGTAATTATAATTGTATGGATATGAGAGAGCTACAATGAGAATTCCATTGATTATTCTCTAGGTTTAATAAAAAAAAAAAATAAAAACATCAACGGTAAACATTTACAAGTAGCTGGTGTATACTAATACAGCAATACATATCTATAGCGCATTACATCTTTTGGCTTGTAATAAAACAATTATTGTTGCTTCAAAAGGTAATACAATAATTCTATTGGTCATAAAAAAACTGTGATTGCACAACTATATCAACTGAAAAATATTAATTTTTATTATTAAATGTGGTTAATTAAATCAGTAATGGCAACAATTTAGTTCCTACCAGTACTCGCATTATATCATTTTTTTTCCTTTGGACTGAAATAACAACTTGTACCTGCTGTATAAATAAGCCTAATAAACTTAAACCATAAAGGGGTATTCGATTTTGGCTCCCAAGAGACAAAGAATGTACAATTAAACAAGGTCTCGGCCCCAATGGACCACTCATCTTGTCTAAACCTTGTTTTATCCAATTGTTTAACTCCCCCCAACAGACATGTCATGATCGTAGTCTTGACGAGTTAATTATCTTATGTTTGAACTTTAATGATAAAAGGAAGAATACTTGTAATTATTTATATTTTTTCTAAATATTTTGTGCGTCAAAATTACAGAGGAATCAATGTGTAAGTATAAAAAATGGTCACTTAAAAAGTTTAGGGTTTGTCAGTTTAATTTTTAAAAAGCTAACGTTATCACATTCACATTGAACATGAATAATATAAATTAAGTGACTCTTAACTAACTTATCCTAAGGTTAGTTATTGTTAAATCCCAATTTCAAGATTTAAAAGTAAAGTGTTATGTAGCCCTAAATAATTTGAAACAATACAAATAATGGTCAAAAGCTTTGAAATAAAATCTTCGGTAAACCACCTAACATCAACATTTTACTAACAAAAACTGTGTGTTGTGTGATATAAATAGGCTGTTTAAAGCTTTGGATTTCATTTCCACACTACAATAGACTAAGGAAACTACAATACAACCATTTTTAATACCACAATCTCCCCTCCTTCTTCCTCTATAAACAGTTTAGAATTTAAAATCTAATGTTCGCGTCGAATAGAGTTTTTAGGTCATAGGATGTAACAAATTACATCATTGGGTGAGCTTATAGAATTTTATCTTTTGATAAAACAGTCCATCACGTTATTTGTCATATTATCATTTTAATGGTAATATTGTAATATTAGCAAAAGCTATCGATTTAATACATAGTACATTATTTATAACACATGCAACCTTTCCTGATTGTTAGAATAGACAGCCATTCTTATAATATATTATAATATATAATATTACTTCTTTGTAGTAAATTGGTCGTAATTTTTAATTTCAATTATTAAAATTCAACATGATAATATACGTTGGATTACTCATTTCCATAAGCTGTCACTTGTAACTTTACATCATATCTTGAAGAAGACATATTCAAATATTTCGAATAAATTGAATTGCCAATATGAGTTCTATTGTATTTCTTCAGTAGGAGCTGTTGCCAATTGTACAACACGGGTTTTACTGAAAACCCCCACAATGATATTTGGTCCAGAAAACCTTTATTTCCGTATCTGCGGGATTGTTCCAATCGAAGGCTTTTACAGATGTTTCTACTGTGTAATCCCACTGGCATTGACATGTTTGGTCATCGCATCTCCACTCCTGAGAGACTACGGACTTCTCATGCATTATTGGCTCGGAGTTCTCCCGCAGGCTCTGGGAAATATGGTACATCTACTGATGATTCTTTTCGATCCGGAAGAATTTCGCTCTATCCTGCATGATTTGAATCTTGTCGACGACCAACTCCGGGAAATGGGGGCTCTGATCCAATCTCCAAACCTGACCAAAACGATGGCTGTAATCATTCTTTCGCAGCTGTTCGCACTCTTAAAGAGTCTTACCTTGTTGGCTGACATGTTGGCTGATTATCCAAATATGATCACTATGTTCGTGATAATCAACGCGGCTTGGAACCAGCACCTGACATTCGCTCAACTGATTCACAGTAGGTTCTCGGCATTGAACGATCAGCTGACCAGGATAGCAGCATCAGCTGATCAGACCTTGCTGCAGATTGTCGAGACCCGCCTGGACTCTGTGTTCCGCGTCCACTCAACCCTCCACGTCATCGTGTCCAACGTCAACTCTCACTTTTGTGTCTTCAACCTCCTATTCGTCACCTCCTGTTTTTTTGAGGTGGTCTTTTATTCGTACGAGACACTTGATCAGATGATCAATGACAAAGCGGTGGTCGATATGGAATTAAAAGTCATTGTATACTTGTCAGTAAATCTTGTGTGTCAGATTGTCACATGCCATCTGTGCGCCAACGAGGCCAACAGAACCGCGGAGATTGCCCATCACATTTTGCACAGAAACTCACCATATTCTCTCTGGGAAAAGATCGGGAACTATTCCCGTCTGACAATTGACAACCCGGTTAAGTTCACAGTCGGTGGAATCTTTACGTTCAACATGGAACTTTTGACGAAGATTGCAGCGATGTCTTTCTCGTATTTGGTGATCATCTTTCAACTGAAGGACGTTGATCTGTTTGTGCCTATGTCAACCAGTGTAAATGCAACTGGGAGTTAAGCAATGGAACATGAAAAAATCATGCTGAAGTCAAAGTCAAAAGGGTATTAACAGCTATGATGGTCTACCATTACTTAGCTGTGAAAATTATATTTATAATTCACGACATGTTTGTCATGTCAAAATATTCTGTGTGTCTTCGATCAAAACTCTTAGCTATATGTTTAGTTACATATTACTATCCCACGCTGTTACAGCTTTATAAGACCAATAGAAATCACGTCTAACTTTCATCATTCTACTCTTGTCAATTATTATGCATGTATCTGTTGATATATCTAAATAAATGAATAAACAAAGTATATATAAACAATTTGTACATTAATTTGGTAGGAATGTATATTCTCCTTTATTACTTGTACATTCTTCACTTGGTCGTAGAGAAGTTAATATATCACTGATATTATAAAGGTTATTGATGTTATGTTAATTTTATAGGTTTTTAATTATACATGCTCGAGTTTTTTTTTATAATGATAGATAATAACTACAAGTTTCGATTTTTCCCTTGTAAAATATTTTGATGAAGTTTCGGTTCTAAGTCAATTTGCAAAGTGGAGCAGACGATACCTGCTGACAGCGCTGAGAAGCAATTGAGAGTTCTCGCTTCATGTAGAATTCATTCGAAACAAATGCAATTAAAAAATTAAATCCAAAAGGGTCTAAGCAGGAAGTCAGGATGATATAATTGTTAAGTTTAAGTATTTAAGTAAAATTTGTTCATACCTCAGTGGTATGGCAAAATGTTTCTTAGATGTGTTCTTCAAACACTATTTTTTTGTCCTAGGACGAGCCTTTTTAGGCACGAGCCTGGGATTGTTTTTCACATTACTTCAGGCTAGACCTAGGGGTTGCGGCATTATCACTTAGATAAAATCCATTGGTGATTTGGTGGGATTTGAACCCGGGACCTCTTTTACCGAAGTTCCGCGCTCTAACCACTATAGACCAGCTCGCTCCCCCAGCCCGCTTCAAACGTTGGAAAAGCAACTATTAACACTTGGCGAGATTTATTTTTTTTGCCAACCGTTGCAGTTTTTTATTATTTTGATGTTTATACAATTATTTTTTGATGTGTATACAATTATTTTTAAGCAGTTTTGTAACGGTTAGGTTTATTCATATGTTCGTGCAAGGTACTATACAGTATTAGGTCTAAGATATAATCTTACTAACAAATTCATAACAATAAAAAATATTTCTAGACAGAGTTCTCCTTAGATTTTAGCTTTGTTAAAATAGTGTAGAGTAAAACGACGACGAATATACAGTGTCAATAATCTTAATTGAAACACAATTATTATTTGGGAACAGATATGCCAATGGTTAAATGGTTAAAGCTTACTAACCCTTTATACTGCCGGGATTAAAAGCCAATAGCCAAAACATTGGTAGGGCCAGTTTTTTTATCTCCAAATTGTAATCAAGTTGCGCCAAATGATAATATCTGTACTAAAACCCAAATAAAAAATAGTTTGTAAAATTATCCATGATTAAAGTATTTTAAATGTATGTAAGTTTCCGGAATTTTATTACAGCAAGACTTCTTTCATGTAAGACACAATATTTGCAGTTATGTTTTATATTCGATGGTTTACTCTGAATTGAATTCTACCATTGCTAAAAAAAACGTTCGATTAAAATACATTTTGAATCAGTGTGTTTTGAAAATAAAATACACATTCCACAAATAACACTTTAATAACAGAACATTGACTAAAAGGGAGCGAAACAGAAAACACATAAATACGCTACTTTTACGTTCAAAATATAACTATTTCTTCCACTCAAATGGTTGAAAATCTACCGGAGATGAGTAATTTTACCGCAAAAACGAAGTTTTGCCAAGATTCGATAAGATGGCAAGGAAGGGTCAGTTTATGAGCAGGTCCACCCAGAGATGGTCAACTGGATGACGTCATTTCCTTTCAGCGAGGGTTTTAGAAAACATCTGATCAAAAAAACTTTTACAGTTCCCTTAGAACACACATAAAAAACAGCATCTTTATGTTATTTTACATTTGTGTTTATCTAAACAATTGTCATATTTTCAGGTGTTTTTTTTAATAAACCGGTCTGAATAGGGTCTTATTTTTAAGGATACTAGCAAATATTATGAACACTATGAACGTTTGTAAACAGAGTATTTAATGTTACTGGGATGTTAACCTAGTGTTTTTGAACATAACTCCTTAAATAAGCAGACAATTAAAAAAAAAAAACTTGCCGTGTACATTCGTTACCTTCGTTTATTTAATGAAAACTTTCACATAATTTTTACTTAAATTTAAAGTACTTAAACTATAAATAAAAAATAAAAACATTCTTGACGTCGCAACGTACATGATGAAAAGTAACAATTAAAAGGAAAATTTATCAGCTCAAATAATATATACTGTTTGTAAATCCACACAATTTGTATGACTATGATTAAAATAACGATGGAATAAAAAGGGTTTAATTAAATCATGTAAATTATAATATACTGTTACATAACAAGTGCCTTTTCTAGCAAAATGGCATCCAAAACTATGAGAGGATTTTTATAAATATTTCAAATGTTTAAAGTTAAACTATATAACAAGGTAATTGAAAATACAAACTAACCTATTCAAAAAGTCTTCATACAGCCAAAGAATAGAGGCCCACCTACTTCACATTAAATGCATTAAAGAATAAATCATTACAATATTTAAATCATCATCTAAATCTGTAATAGACATGGTTTAGCCCCTGAGCTGAATTGATGACTAATATATTATAAATACCTCGTCACAGCTCTGTAGTTTCTGTAGATTACAGCTGTTTCGGCATTAAAATGCCATCATCAGATACACATACATCCACCTGAATTGGCGTCGTTAAACTGTACATATACACGAACACGATAAAAACACAAAAACACGTAAAACAAGAGACAGGCCTGTCGCGTACATGATTGCTACGAGTACGGAAGCTGACTGGGCAACTGCTAGTTCGTTCCAGCTGTAGCGGTATTATCTGCTGGACTTTGATCCCTTGTCTGTGGCTTGCTCCGTTTGATAATGTTATTAAAAATGGTGTGGGATTTAAATTGTAATTGATCGTTTAGTATGTGCTCATTGCTGCTTTTTATTTTATGAGCTTTATAAATCTCATATTCTTCAGGGGTATCTAATCTATTTCCATTAATACAGGCGTGTAGAACTTCTAAGCCGTTGTCCAAATCAAGTAAGTCGTGATTGTTATCAACCAGGTGTTGCGCGAACGTGGATTTTTGTTTGTCAGTCTTCCCGTTAGGGCGATGTTCTTTGTACCTAATGCTAAAGGATCGTCCTGTTTTTCCAATGTATGTACTCGGGCAACTAGCACATTTGATTTTATATACACCTGATTGGTCAGCTTTATTTTTATTTGTCTTAGGTTTTAACTTATTAATAACTTTATTGCTAGTTCTGAAAGCTAGTTTGATCCCATGCTTTTCCAACTCATTCTTTAGGCTGTGCTGTAGGTGGTGAGAATAATCTACGCAGACGAATTTTTTGTTTTGCGGGGTTAAGTTCTGATTTTGATTTTGTTTATTTTTGTATTTCTTTACTAAGTTGTCAACCATTTGGATATCATACCCATTAGATACGGCAATTTGTTTGATGATTTTCAGTTCTCTATTGTAGTTTTGCTCTGTCATTGGGACATGTAATAAGCGGTATACCATGCTATTGTAGGCGGCCAGTTTATGTGATACGGGGTGGTAAGACGTGCTGTGAATGGTTTGGTTTGACGTGGTAGGCTTCCTATATATGCTAAAATCTAATCTGTTATCTATCTTTTCTATTGTGATATCCAAGAAATTTATTTTATTTGATTGTTCAGTTTCCATGGTAAATTTCAAATTAGGCGTTATATTGTTGAGGAACTTGTGTAGAAGGTCGAGCTGTCTAGTGTTACCCTTGAAAATAAGAATTGTGTCATCAACATAACGGTGATATTCCGTTATCTTGTTTTTTGTTTGTTCAGGTCTGAAAATATATATTTATTTTCAATATGGTTCAGATATACGTTGGCGAGTAAACTTGATAATGGAGAGCCCATTGCCAGGCCATTTGGTTGACTGTAATATTTATCATTGAATTTGAAATAATTTTGTTTGAGTGCTTCTTTGAACAAAGTTAGTAGTTCGGTAATTGCTTCAGGTAGTAAATTCGAATCTTTGTTCAGGTGGTCTTTGACTATGTCTAGAGTTTGGTCAACAGGAACATTAGTAAAGAGATTGACAATGTGAAATGAAACTAGAAAATCATGAGGGTTTACCTGTACATTTTTGGCTTTGTTAATAAAATCATAGGTGTTGATAAGGCTGTAATTATTTTTAACAACCATTTTTAATAACATTATCAAACGGAGCAAGCCACAGACAAGGGATCAGAGTCCAGCAGATAATACCGCCACAGCTGGAACGAACTAGCAGTTGCCCAGTCAGCTTCCGTACTCGTAGCAATCATGTACGCGACAGGCCTGTCTCTTGTTTTACGTGTTTTTGTGTTTTTATCGTGTTCGTGTATATGTACAGTTTAACGACGCCAATTCAGGTGGATGTATGTGTATCTGATGATGGCATTTTAATGCCGAAACAGCTGTAATCTACAGAAACTACAGAGCTGTGACGAGGTATTTATATTATATTAAATCTGTAAGTCAAACAATGATCCTTGTTTCTATATTGAGTAAAATTAATAAGATGAGACTCATATAGGAAACTCAGCGCATCACGTGTGTGTTTTTGTACCGCATGAGCGATGATGAATCCGCATGAACGTTTCATGCTTTTATAATATCGAATGCTGCAGACTGTGTTACGCATTGGAGTGCTAGGTAAACATTTCTTTGCTTCACTTTGTAGTCCGAAATTTAACATTATTGTTAACGGTTGGATTAAAACGTGGGGTAATTTCCTTACTTGATTGGTTTAATTCAGTTTTTTACAAAACTACTATTTTACAGTAAAATATTTTTTCATTACT